CCGAAGATAAAAACACAAAGAAATCATAATAGTTTCGATGACAGTTTCTTATTTATTTTCTTATTTGTATTTTCTTATTATTCATGACAATTTCGATGTGATAACATGCATGGTCAATCGAATGAACAACTCTCATTAGTTTATGTCTCCCACCTTGAATTATAAACCCTTGATAATACGATTTCTAACACGATGAAATCGACACAAATTGAACCAAATACCATAAATCATAAGTTTCTCCAACAGTTAAACCCACTAACTGCTAACCTCAAATCGCAAAAACACCACATATCCATTCTCCTTCTCATAGAAGTAAATAAAAACATAATAAGAGTATTTACATGTAAAGAAAGAAAGGAGAGAAAGACCTTGTATTGGAACCAGTCTGATTGGGACATAAATACTTTACGCTGGTCAAAAGGGGTTAGAAGTTCTGGACAGTTAAAGGGACATAGCTCGATATTAATCTACAACAAAACGTAAGATACCTAGATATATATCGAACGTTTGATAATTTTGTGACGGAGCTCTATACGGTTCTTTGCTGAAAATTCTTGGGAATCTGGTATGTGCAAAAAAACTTGTTATAACATGCAAAGGCAATCAAAAATACTCTTCTCCTGCAAAGAGATATGCATTTAATTGATATTTATTAGTTTAGCTAGGATTCACTTATAAGATTTGTGATTTTTCAATGTGATGATTCACATCGGATGTTGTTGTTTCCATCCTCATTAGACTGTTTGGTTTAGGTTTTGCGGCTGACTGAGGGGGCTCGCATGTCTACAACCAAATTGAGAAAAATTAAAGTTTACTTTAGGTAGGAAACTAACATGAAAGAAAAATATCACAYCTGTAATGAAAATTTTGATTAGAAAAATAATGAGTGACAAAAATTACCTTTGTGAACCTGCTCCTAACTCCTAAAGGCTCTTATATATGTGCACACTTAGATAGTCATCTCCTGGTGCAGAAGTGATAGAGAATGGATYCCTAAATAATMATAATAAAATAAAATCAATATAACTATATATCTGCCTACAAAAGTTAATGATAGTAAAAYATTAATAATTATGTAGATTACCATTCGAATTCTGAGAGATCAGGAAGACAAACATGCCACTTTTGTATTTGAACCCGTGAGGTTTGGTCACGTAAAGTGCAAGAACGTTTCCCGAATATACAATCGCCTGCATGTAAACCC